ATAACAATGTTGTAATAAACTGGAGTGGAATAACACGAATATCACTCATAGATTGTGTTTTTGAAACATTAGGCTCATTTCTTTTAGTTTTAATTCTGTATCATGTCAATCTGTTTTAACTAAAGAATTAACGTTGCTTTTATCTAAAACATTTTCTAGTATGTGCTAGCGATCCCGGCTTTGCACGGGTGCGATGTAGATACTACTAATACTACTAAAGTGGTGTCAATGGGGAATAATTAATTGTACTATTATTATGATAGGACTAAAGTACAGGGCATCTTTAAATGCAATATTTATAGGCTCGCTCTGATCCTGTCGGCCGCTGTCACCCGTGACGGACGTACGCCTCGACGGTCGTTGGGCCCTCGCATTTTAAACCTCTTGTTCACGGGATGACCTAGTTACTAAATAATAAGTGTTGAATAAAACTCAGAAGTATGCCAACGAACTAACTTTATTTTATAAATCTCACCAATGTCATTCAACTACAGAGACTCTTAACACCGCGATCTAATTTAGTGAAATTAGTACAGCGCCACCTATCGATCAGCATGTCAACTAAGTAATTTACTTCAACATACCGCCCACCAAGGACCTTTGTCCTTAGAAAAAAGAACCAAGATTGAAAATAAAATAATCTTGAACCATCAATGAAAACAAGAAATTTTGTTACTATAAGAAATAACATTATTTATATATTGAAATATTCATAACATTTGCATAACTTAATAATTATGTATTCTGATAATTATTTATAAATATAAAAAATGAACAAGCCTCGGACGTAAACAGGCACGCCCACGCCACGAAAAATTACATCATTTATGGGCCCAATGGGGTAAACCCAAGTTATTTCATATGGGTGTAATGTATAACATTAAATAGGCTTTGTAAGTTTATGTTTAGGCTTTGTTTTTTTTAGTTTGACGGGCCTAGTGGTTAGTGACCCTGACTACTAAGCCGGAGGTCGAAGGTTCGATTCCCACCCAGGACAAATATTGTGTGATGAGCACGGTCATTTGTTCTGTGTCTGGGTGTAATTTATCTATAATCTGTATGTATTTAAAAATATATAAGTATGTTTATCAGCAGTCTGGTTACCATAGTACAGGCTCTGCCTACTTTGGGATCAGACCGCCGTGTGTGAAATGTGTGTAAAAATATATTATTATATATATATTTATATATATGTAACCAAAAATAATATAATAATAAAAAAATATATAACCAAAAAATTTATAACCAAAAATGGATTTGAAAAATTAACAAAGTGATGGAGTAAAATCCGTAGAGTGAATTTATGGTTTAGCGCGTATACAGTGAAACGCATAAAACGACTTGTTTTATATCATATAGGTATGTACATAATGTAATGACGTTAACTGTACGTAAACAGCTTATGTCACTGGTAGTTACTGATTAAACTTATGTAAGTATACGTCTGAAAACGATAAAATAATATCGGTTTTATCGGGCATAGAGCAACACAGGCCACCGGTGGACCGGAGTTGTAAAGTTACCGAAAATTCCATTTCATGGGATAGATGAGCATATTATGTGTGAAAATTTATTGTTGACTGGCCTCTGAGTCAAATGGTTAGTGATCCTGACTGCTAAGACAGAGGTCTTGGGTTCGATTCCCATCCAGTACAAATAATTGTGACGAGCGCGATAATTTATTCTGTGTCCAGGTATGATTTATCTACGGGGGGGGTCGTCTACTCTTCTGTAGATGACCCGAGGTATGTCGGGGCACCAGAGACTTCCTTTCTAGGGTATACCTGGTTCCCCGGCTATTAGTACCCAAGGCGGCGTGCGGTTTTAGTCGGTTCGAGTCCGACATGCTACCGACAGGTGGTATCCGAGGGGATTTCCGCACGGAAAAAAAAAAAAAAAGGTATGATTTATCTATAATATGTATATATTTAGAAGTATATAAGTATGTTTATCAGCGGTCTGATTAGTATAGCACAACCTCTGCTTAGTTTGGGATCAGATGGCCGTGTGAAATAATGTTATTATTATCGCGTTGGAAGAATAAAACAGAATCGAAGAGATGTCGTCCACTAGGTCAAAGCAGCTGCTAGGATTTCCCTGAAAGAAGCAGGTCAATTCCCTAAATACAAATTCGTTTTCTCTCAATTCGATCTACTAACGATCACAAAAAAATCGAAAACAGGCGTTTTCCTAGTAATGCATTACTTAAAGATCCAACGTTGACTGTAATGTGATTATATCGTATTGTGATCGAAAGTTGAATCGGTAATCTATTAGTCCTAGTAATACTTTACTACAAAAATACCTTTTGTGAAATCGAGAGTAGATCGGACCGGTATCGGATCGGATCGGTATTTCGAACGAATTTTTATCACGAGAATTGACCTTCTGTTCAAGTTACAGATAATATACGACCTTGCTCTGCCTACCTATGGCTCCACTCCCACACACACACACACACACTTATACGGATTAAAATTATAATCAGCAATATGTGAGCGTTTAATACGTAGGTACCTACTGATCCTGCATCTCGCAATCACAGTTTTTGCGCTTGTACACAGCTACATCTTCTTAACATAGCATAAAATGAAGTCGCTTCCGGTTCTTGTACGCTTAAATCTTTCAAAATAAGCAACGGATTTTGATGCGGTTTTAACCAAAATCGAGTGATTCAAGAGGCAAGTTAATACGTTCATATTATAGTAGAGAATATAATAATATAATATTCTACCACATACACACAACGCCATCTAGTCCCAAACTAAGCAGAGCTTGAACTATGGGTACTAGACAACTGACATAAATACATATATACTTTTTTTTTGTAAATACATATATATTATACCTAGAAACACCCAGACCAAATCAAATATCAAATGTTCATGCACACAAATCTTTGACTTGAACGGGAATCGAACCCGCGACCTTTGGAATAGCAGTCCGTTACACAAACCACTACGCCATCCGGTCGTCCATATACAAGATTTGTAATGTGATGTCGTAAATATTGCACACGTGCGAACCAGGGCCGGTCGCTAGTGTTATTCTATAACTGCCCAGACCCCAAATTACTTTGTAAAAAGGGGAAAAAGACAATGATGGGTTCCAAAAATTAGCGTTAAAATAAACATACAATAGAGCTCTTCGGCTATTATAGCAGAATCTCAAACTATGTACGTAAACGTATTATAGTAAAATAATACGTATTTATAGTATCAATAAGGTTGCAAATAATATAACAGTCACAGAACAAAATCAAAAATATAACGGGATCAAATATTGAACTCGCATCAGCTGTTAAGAGTGATATTTCGAAGATATGTGTAAGCCACTTTGACCTTTGACTGATGTTAACGTCATTAACATCAGTCAAAGGTCAAAGTGGCTTACACATATCTTCGAGATATCACTGTTCATGTTTATGAACCTAGTAAGCTTTAGCCCGCGGTTTTATTTGCATTCATGTAATTAGAGATAGAGCCGTGGATCATCACCAGTGATACCACGGCCTCACAGAAAACCGGTGCTATCATGCAATTCTTTCCTTGCTCTTTACCGAGTAAGTGAGGTTATTTGAAGCCAAAAACCAGTCCTCCCCCTATTTCTAAAGGGGGGAGGCAAGGCTAATGACTCTTATCATCTGGTGACCAGTCTGTACATTAGTCCCCAACATACAGCATACATGTAGGCAAGCCTGCGGTTCCGCCCGCTTCGCCGCTTATTGCCATAAAAAGTAGCTCATGTCTGCTTTCCAGAATCATTCGATCATGATTTTGACTTGATTTTCCATACAAATTTCCACCCAAACTTCAGGGGGTGAAAAGGGCACCCCCTGAAAGGATGATTTCTGGGATAAAAACTATACTATGTCCTTTTCTGGAACTCAAACTATCTCTATACCCAATTTCATTTCAATCGGGCCAGGAGTGTAAGCGTGAAGAGGTAACAGATAGACACATTTCGCATTTATAATATTATTAGTATGAATATTAATGTACATATAATAAACATATAGTGTTTATCAGTAAATGATTCAGGTATAACGGAAAAGATCTGGTTTAAACCGCCCGGCAATAAGATCGGGTCAGTGGTGTATTTTTTTGGCTCTAGACACATAAGAATTGCCGCCGCTATTTTTTTTAAATGTAATTAAAGAATTTACATAAAAAAAGAAATAAGCATATTATTAAATATTATCTACACATTAAAACAGAAAAAAATATTTGTGTACCATTTTTAACAAAAGAATGTAGCGCACGGAATCATTTCGTATTCTGAGATATTCTTGAGTTTTAAATTCACACAGATTACAGGAGTTCAACAAAGAATATTTTGTTTCTCTTTCCAAGCATAGATATGATAGAAAAATAGGGTTTAATCCGTATCAGCAAGAGGCACTGAAAACAAACCCTATAGATATGAAAAAAAAATTGTGACTGGTTTATTAAAGACTAGTCACAGCTCTGCTTTTCATCCGTGTTAGGTTTAATACAGAACATAGGAGAAAAATGATTTTCTTTATAATTTTTAAGTTATTTTAATAGTTATTCTGCTATTCAGGACAGACAGATCAACAAATTAAATATCGAAATAATCGGTTTACCCGTTCTTGAGTTATATGCCTGTGGTGTAACTAACCCAACTTTCTTTGATTCATGGAATACGTCTATTTATCTACTACACGGATTACGTAGTGGTTTAAGCGGTTGCCACACTACTACGAGTTTTGTGGTTCCGATCCCCACATGGGAGTGATCCACACATTGTTGTTCTAAGTCTGGGTGTTCTTTGTGTCCGTTTCATGTATGTTTGTAATGTACCCCGCGACACAGGATATATTTCTTATGCGGGAGTTCTTTTTACAATTTGGGAGCGTCGCAACATCAACAGACCCTTATCGAGTCCAATACTAGTTCTAAAGATTTTCACATTCGAACAGTACGATAAGAGGTGGTAACTGATATTCAATTATTGTTACTTAATTACTTTGGTCTTACCCACAGTAGAGTGCTTTAACCCCTTCTTGCTGCGATGTCTTGACAAAGCAGTCAACCATCCCGGTGTACCGCAGCTCCACATGGCGAGGGTCTATCTTCTGACCCTGGATTTGAAGTCGTGTCTTTGTTGTGTCTATGGGGAATGTGCCTACACCAAACAGAAATTAAACATTTTTTTTAAATTCTTGTATATTGTATAAAATCCGAATTTGGGTTTTAAGTGCACAATTATAAATCTACACGCTTTATCCTTTTAGAGTGCATCGGAGTCTTTTCTGGTGGGTAACGTTGCAAACTTTTACACCTTACCTTGACCAGCCCAATGATGACAACTATAATCTGCCACAATTCACTGTATAACTTTTAGCTAATTCATCATCATCATCATCATCAACAGCCTATACTAGTCCACTGCTGGACATAGGCCTCTCCTTAGAAAGGAGGTTTTGGCCTACTATATCACGCTGGCCAGACGGGTTGGTATAGGGTTAGTTTCAAGTTTTCCTTCTCTTTTCAGTGCTGTTGTCCTGCTTAGTTTGCTCCCTTAGTCGGCTCTTACGACACCCACGGGATGAATTGGGGTGGTGACAATTTGTATTCTTAATCCGTCACCACACGGACATTGACAATGTCAAATTATGATATTCAAAGTCCGAGCAACACTCAAGGATCTTATGCTTTGACAAGGGCTATTTTCAAACAATGCCTGGTATATTAGTAAGGTAAAGTATATTAGTAAGGTATAAAGGTAAGTTAATGTTAATAGTAAGTAGTTATTTTTTTCGGTCTACGTTAATGTCAGTTTTTGCAGCAAGTAACCTACGTTACTTGCTGATAACGTAGCTTTCCATTAGCCAAATAATTAAAAAACCGGTCAGGTACGACACGAACTCGTGCGCCGAGTTTGCCGTACCTACCCAGATTTTACGTAGATTTTCACGAAAATTTGTAAGTACCAAAATTTATCTTAAGTTTCAACTTTTTTTTTGCCAAATTTCGTGATTCTAAGTCAACGATAACTAATATATAGGTTTTCGACCCAAAACCTATAGGGTACTTCCGGTTGACCTAGAATTGTCAATTTTGGTTAAAAGCAAGGTCTTACAGCACAAGGAAAGAGAAAATTCTGAAAAATCATAAAACTTGAAAATTAAGGTAAATTTTGGTACTTACAAGTTTTCGCGAAAATCAAAATTTGCCTATATCTTTTTATCGTGTTGACTCAGGACCTTGATTTTGATACACCTAATAGGGACCATAGACCTCAGTATCTGGTATAAATTACAACTTGCTAAATCTACCCGTTTCAGAGAAAATCGGTGGTGACAGACGGACAAGCAAGTGATCTTATAAGGGTTCCTTTTTTACCTTTTGAGATACGGAACCCTAAAAATCGTTTTTTGTCTATGGGGAATGTGCCTACGCTCACCTTCAGATTTATAATATGTACACTACCGTTATCACTGTTGGTCTTCCAATAAATAAATAAAAATTAAATATAAGTAAGGATAGATTGTGTATTCAAATGAAATATATTTACAATGTGTTAAGATTCTGGCAGTATAACTTTTCTACCTAAAATTAAATGTATTCGTTGTTTTAGCCGAAGTTCTATGCTGTGTTTGGGCAAAATAAAGTAATTTATTTACTTAACTCCTCAATTGCTGCTACACTGTACAATGCTTTGACCAATAAGCACTGTACAGTGTAGCAGAACTTGAGGAGTTAAACAGACAGGATATTTCCGTACATAAATACTCGCTCTGTGATCTAAAAAGTAATATACAAGGCTAGGGCTAGAGCAGTCCGTGTGGTGACGGATCACGAATACGGAATGTCACCACCCCTATTCATCCCGTGGGTGTCGTAAGAGCCGACTAAGGGAGCAAACTACGCAGGACAACTGCAAAGAGAAGGAAAACTTGAAACAAACCCTATACCAACCCGTCTGGCCAGCGTGGTATAGTAGGCCAAAACCTCCTTTCTAAGGAGAGGCCTATGTCCAGCAGTGGACTATTATAAGCTGTTGATGTGAGGGCTAGAGCACTTTTTCATTAACCCAGATAACTAAGACTTAACCAGATAACTTAAGTAACCTAAGTAACCATGCATATTTCTTAAGTTATATCCATACACTAAAATTAGTCCCATTATGAGAGTGTGCTTAACGTTCAACTTTTAATATGAAACTAGCTGTTTACTGTAATTTCACTGTTGTTTATGGTCACTGCTTTGAATCCGACTGATACTTATAAGAATTTGTAAGATTTAAATAATTATACAAAGGAATCTTTAGCTTAATGCAGTTTTCATTTGCGTTTTGGGTTAGTAAGCTGTCATAACCCATCTCTTGTTATAACTATGTAAAGAATATAAGATCACACTCCTCTTTTTTCACCTATAAATGTAAAAGGTGTGAGCGTGAAAGATTTCATACATAAAAACTATAAATTTGCAGAAATCAGTCACTCCATGACACTGAATGAACCAAATACTTTTATAGGATATTTCAGGTATGTTTCATAACAAGACAGTAAATAAATTGTTTGCTAGTAATGTACTAAGCTACTCCTACTTCATACAGGTGATATAAAATTTTTTTGAGGTTAAGTAATTTTTATTAAAAAATTGGATTTCCTTACCGAATTCGGCAACGATCGACGCTAGGCCGCCGTAGATAAACGGTCTCCAGTCACTATCTCCCATTACACATGAAGATCTTTAATAATAAAGTTCACCTATATTGTAATTCAGACCGGTATCTTTGAAAATTATTGTTCAATGGTGTAGCCTCACGTAAAAATACTTTACAATATAACAAAACACACTGTTACAATTGTAATGGTTATTTAACCAGTAAGACTTTATAGTCCACTCTGAAAAACTAATAATTTTACTAAATTATAATATTTAGCAGTCCCACTAACACAATGCACATGCCTATGTCATATCAACTACTGACTGACATTTGGTGGTCTGTTCTGGCAAGTGTTGCCAACAGTTAAATGAACTCTCCACCAGATTAAACATCTAAAACCACCAGAAAACCATCAACGAAAAACTACGTTACTCTAATAGGCTCTAAATTTTCCACTAAACATTTCTTTTAGTAATCACGAAATTACACCATAAGTATAGTAATAACAAGTTTTCTCCATTAATCTAGTTTCCTTTATCGTTATCGTCTTAACGCGCCTTTTTCGACTTTCCTACTCCCAAGGCATCGTCCCGAACTCCTGGGATGTAGCATTTGTGCATCCAATCCCCAAAAAAGGTGACCGCTCTGACTCGTCCAACAGGCCTATAGCCATAACTCTTTTGTTCTCTAAGATTATGGAAATCAAAATCAACTGCCAGCCCCTCCGGTACATAGATGATCACCAGCTACTCAATAACCGACAATATCGTTTTCGCCGGGGTCGCTCAGCTAGTGTTCTTCTCGTCTTTCTAACATACCGGTGGGCACAGGCGATCGAGACCATAATATATAAAAGTATTTTAATATTTTAACTTAGCACACTTTACTCGTCTATAACAGCTATGTTCATATTCATGAGATGAATCTCCTTGCCTCTACACTTTATATGTTTAGTGTCTCTTAGATTATATGTATGATTACGCAGTTGCGTGTGATAGAGATTAAATATACATTTTATAGAGATAGAGTAATTAAAAGAGAATATATAACTATATGTTAAACGAAAACTATATACATGGTTTACTACACGGTTGCAGATTATTTAAATGAAAAATTTGCATGGGATTGATGCTTTTCAAGAGGTCACTCGCACATTTACGTTTCTAACATTATTGTTATGTTTGAAAGTTATGGACATTTCGTTTATTTTCTTTTGTTTATTTTTCGTTAAATTTGAATTCTTTTTTGTGTGTAAGTATGTAAATCTAGTTGTAAGTGAGTATAGTGTAGGCTTGTAATGTTAGTTCAGATTTAATAATTTTCTGGTGGTTTTGATTGTTTTCACAGCCTACTCAAAAGTCTTGCAGGGGGTAGCGTCGTGCTTCCGATCGTTGATCTTGACCAATGACCGTGAGACCGTGATCGTGATATATCATTAAACTATCTACACAATTATTTGCTTACTTACACTAAAATGTAGGCTAACTTAACTATTACTAACATACAAAAGTTGGCCAATGCTTGTTAACAATGTTGACGTTTTTCGACAGACTAAGATATTATTGTGTAAAGTATGAACTGAACATGAGTCAATGGAATAGACATGAAGTAACATGAACATGTTATCTATTGTGTGTGTGATAAATATATTTATCTCACACGCATATGCTACGCTACGACACTCTCTCAGTCACGCCCGACGCCCGATGCGACTACTGCAAGTGCACGCTAGGTGGCGCTAGCGTCGCAGTAGCAGCGGTTTTGTAATTGAGTTATAGGTGGGATGAAATGATTATAAAATCATATGATAAATAACATGTGAATGTGATTACGTCCCATGCCTACTGGAAACACTCTGGTTTATAATGTTTTATCTGTGGGAAACACTACGATAAAAAACTGTTGTTTTGACAAGAAAATATTTTACAATACAATTTCAATTTTTAAGTGTGTCGACTGTTGGTAATGATCTGAAGTAAATTTGAAAAGAATTTAAAAGTTGAACACTGTGTAGTGAAACCTAAGCACGAATTCTGTATTTTAATTAATAATAGACTGCACCAATAAGCAAGTTTGAAGCACAAATAAGGTAAATTACTGAATTTTAATTTTCTCTACTTCTATCATACTACTGGTCAAGCTTCGTCCTATGATAGTAAAGTTTTAGGTGTGGCGAGGTTCTCAATATTTAGTATTTACTTACAACATGCGATCAAGCAATGTTGGTCAAAGTTTATTACTGGGAACTTGAAAATCGAAAATAGGGCGCATCTTCGACGGCCTCACTAACTAACACACTTTTTTATCGCAGGCTAACTCTCCCTTTTATCAGGGGCATGCGCATTTATCGGAACTCCCCGTGGGACGTGAACGCGATAGTCGGCCGTCTAAATTTTGTTTCCGTAAAGTCAGTTTTCCTCACATGTGGCGCAAGGCTTTTTGCTGAGCCAAGGTTTTGTTGATCGTCGTGTCTGCTGGTTCTTCATGTTGAATTTGCCACTGTAGAGGGGCTCTAAATTCTTATTGTGAAGTGAACAGATTGGCAGCTCAGGATAGTTTGCTTCTTATTTTTGTTTCCATTTTCAGGCAAGGATTTTTGGAGTGATTTGACTGCTGTCATTGCAATAGCAGTAATGAATTGGCACAGCATTATTCAGGCCATTATTTATGATTGCATTGTGAAGTATTTTCATACATACACTGACACTCCACTCCCATCCTCGGTTGACAGAGATGATAAAACACCATTTGCATTTATCACAATTTCTGCACACTAAAGGGTATCCTACATTTAAAACTATAAGTATAATTTGTCATAATCTATTGTATAACTTTCAGCTAATTCCACATTAACAATGTCAAACTATAATAATGAACCGGTGCCAGAGCAACGCTCAAGGATCATAAGATTTGACAAGGGATATGTTAAAACAATGCCTGGTATATTAAAGTTGGTCCAAATAGTAAGTAGTTGTTTTTATTTATCATTGGTCAATAACTGTATGGTGACAGTTTAAGAATACCACTACAACTATTCATCCCGTGGGTGTCCTAAGAGCTAACTACAGGAGCAAACAGCAGCACTGCAAAAAGAAGGAAAACTTGAAACAAATCGTATACCAACCCTGGTCTGGCCAGTGTGGTATAGTAGGTCAAAACCTCCATTGTAAGCCCATGTCCAGCAGTGGACTGTTAGTCTGTTGATGGTTAGTCAAGTGAAATATATAATGCAATGTAAGCATGCTTTGTGCATTTAAGATTTTTCAATATGATCTGTTATATTATCAATATTTTACTTTAGTTTACTTTTGAATTATAATTGGTAATATGTCCATGATTGTTACTGATGAACATGTAAATTATCTAACAGTAATTGGAAGGTATTTGTTCTTTTGCTGTTCACCGAGTGAGTGAGGTTGCTGGAGTCCCAATGCCAGTCCAAAACCTCTAGTTCTGGGGGGGTAAAAAGAAATCTGCTTTTGCTAAAATGAAATAACATGTTTTCTCTTTCAGGCATGTAATTTAATCGGATTCATCTGTATAAAAGTGTCATGGTCATGGATATCGGCCATATTCTACAATATACTGTACTGGTCAGCCAATATAATAACACTGTTTCTTCTCATCACGTACACCATACACTTTGTGGAGAAGTTCAACAAGTGGCCGTGGCATAAACTGGAGTGTTTTTATTGTGCCATTGTCGTGTTGACCTACTTTGGGTGTTCGATATTCGCTGCGACTCTTGGCGAGAGCGTTGGATACGCCGTTATGGTGAGTTGCATATATTTGGAAACAACTTCTTTGTTTGTTTGTTAACTCCTCAGAGGAGGGTCTCGTGGTTAAGTGGTAACCAAGTTGGTAAACACATTGCAAAATTAAGCAATTCTAGCCAGGTCAGTCTATGGATGGGTGGCTATTCTTAACACATTGAGACCGCTCCGTTCCCTCAGAGAGCATGTTAACATCTGTAGCAATTGTTATGGGTAGTTCCAGACCTAAAGAGTCCAACAACAGTCCTTCTACAGAACTTCAATATAGCCTACGAAAATACCTCTTAAGAAAGTTGCGATATTGAGAGTTCATTCTAACTAAATTGTGACCGAATTTTATTACGAGAATTGGACTTGGATTCCGGTAAAAAATTACATGTGTTTTGCCACGTTCAACGTCGTCCGTGTGGTGACGGATTAAGAATACGGAGTGTCGCCACCCCTATTCATCCCGTGGGTGTCGTAAGAGTCGACTAAGGGAGCAAAATACGCAGGACAACAGCACTGCAAAGAGAAGGAAAACTTGACACAAACCCTATACCAACCCGTCTGGCCAGCGTGGCATAATAGGCCAAAACCTCCTTTCTAAGGAGAGGCCTATGTCCAGCAGTGGACTATTAAAGGCTGTTGATGATTGATGATGATGATGCCACGTTCAAAAAGCTTGCTCAAGAAGTTATGGCAATATTCGGAAGTTTTCTCCAGATATACTGTTGGAATCAGACACATTATGAAATCATTTATGCTAATATTGTAAATAGCAGAAACAATTTGTCACACTAACTTTTAAACTTTCGCGTTCCATGATAATTAATATTATTTAACGGGAATTAATGAGTCAGCCTGTGACCACGGCCGGTGCAACCTGGTCGAAACGTCAGGCAAACCAGAGGTATGTAATACCCTAAATAAGAGATCGCGTTAATTCCCGTTAAATAATATTAATTTGTCACACTTTCAGCAACATTGGACGGAAGTAGCCGGAATCTTAATAATAAGTTTTAATACTTATTTATAATCTAAAAATATACAATGGTGTTGATAAAGTGGTTAAATAGAATTAACTTCCTCAATGACTAATTCAGTCAAAGAATTTATTGTAACAAAATAATAAATGCATATTAGGTTGATTTAATTAAAAAACCTAAAACCTTATTAATCTTTTTGCTGTCTGTGAAAACCTCACCGTTACAACTAATGGTGTCTCCTCGTCAAATATCCCTGTCAAGTCCACCGTTCCAGAAGGAAGAAACAAAGAATTTTCTCATTATAAACACCACCATCATCAACAGCTTTCTGTCGTTATCCCAATTTTATTGGGGCCGGTTGCCCGCCTGGAGCCAACTCCTTTTGGGAATGTAATAGTGACCAGATAACACAAAAGGAAAAGGTAAATTTTGATGAGAAAAGCTAATAGGTCGAGAGAGCCAGTGCAAGGTATACCACATGTCTCGGATTGGAAACGGGTCTAAGCCGTCAGTTGCTTCGTGGATTCCCAAACTTTTTTGGGCAAGAGACCCCTTTTCCAAAATAAACTGATACCTCATAGCCAAATTACTTTATAAATGTCTAGTTTTTTTACTATTGATACAAAATACTTACCAATTTAAAAACCATTGTTTAAGTGAGTTAATATAATTTCCTCATCAAAATTTAACAAAACAAATAAACATATTAGTCAGTCTTATCACAAGTTGGTACATGCAACATAACTTATACAGTAACTTGAAAGTTTCAAATAAGAACTCTTGTTTAATTAATAGGGGTCGGTTTTTAGACCTCGTCGACCCCTAAAATCAGATTTCGTTTATGTTGACCCCTTTGAAATCGATTTCAAAGGTCGACCGCTTCGGAATTCCCTGCTCTGGTTGGAACATTACTAAATTCTTACCTAAATACCCTAAATAAACTTCAACATTGACAGTTACTCACATTGACTTCAAATGACAATGTTTTACGTTAGTAATTCGAGCACAATGATAAGCCCAGTATAAAATGCATATAAATAGTGTAGTAATATTCGCGTGTGTATTTCCTACTAGCCAAGATAATTATCTAGTAATAATCGTAAATACCCATATAATAACATTGGTTAATAATTGAGGGGGGAATTTCCAGGTCATTTAATAGTCAACAATGAATTGCTGCACTGAAACGCCTGATTTAATTAGTAACTATTGGTGACGGATTAAGAATACCGAGTGTCACCACCCCTGTTCATCCCGTGGGTGTCGTAAGAGCCGCCTAAGGGAGCTAATAGGCAGGGCAACAACAGAGGGAAAACTTGTCAAAAACGCTACACCAACCCGTCTGGCCATAGTAGGTCAAAACCTCCTTTCTAAGGAGAGGCCTGTGTCCAGCAGTGGCCCATTAAAGGCTGTTGATGATGATGATTGATGAAAACAGTAACTTATCTGCTTAATACATTTATTATAAAACCAACCCTAAGCTCCTGCCTAGCATATTTTAGTTAATTAGTTATTATTTTAGTAAATCACCAATTATGAACGTGACTGACTGAAAAATATAAGTTTTGTCGAAAATGTTATTTAAACTATCGAAATATCGGAAAGGAAAATATTGTTTTGTCGGGTTAAAAAACAAATTTTGACCCAAGTCTTTCAATAAGGCTGTTTTTTAAGGTTCCGTACCCAAAGAGTAAAACGGGACCTTATTACTAAGACTCCCCTGTCCGTCCGTCCGTCTGTCACCAGGCTATACCTCATGAACCGTGATAGTTAGACAGTTGAAATTTTCACAGATGATGTATTTCTGTTGCCGCTATAACAACAAATACTAAAAACAGAACAAAATAAATATTTAAGGGGGGCCCATACAACAAACGTGATTTTTTGGCCGTTTTTATAGATAATGGTACGGAATCCTTCGTGCGCGAAATCCGACTCGCACTTGGCCGTTTTTTTTTACATTTCATTTCTTTTTAATGAAGATGGCTTAGAAACTGAAAAATGTAAAACAAAAGCTAGAACCGATCGGCTGCCCCCATTGACGTGCCGTCTGCGCTCACGTAGCCGAACGGCTCCGTGTGTGAAAAGATGTCGGTTCAGACCTATATTATATATTTTTAAGATATTATTATTTATGTAAGAAATATTTTTATTTGTATATATACAAATAAAAATATTTCTCATTTAGTAGAATCTAAATGCACAAGGGCTATTTAACTTTAAGATTCTAACTTGTACGATCCTTACTACTTAGATTTCAGGAGATCGCTTTCAGGAAGGAAACTTCTCGTTGTAATATTTATACAGCTGGACTCATATTTTTAATTACAGTTCTTTGGTCTGTGCGCGATGATCGCGTACGGCTTCGACGGCTACCTCAAGTATAAGGGATGGAAGAAGGGAACGCCTCCTCAGTGAAGTCCCTGAAGTTTGCTACAGATGTCGCTCTCGTGGACGTGTGTCATTTAGTATTATAAGTTTAAGTGCGTTATTTCTTGTAGGAAGCTTGAAAATAGGGAACAATTGCCATAAAGAAAATAAAAAGTCACACGTAGGTAGATATGGAAATAAATATTGTGTCCAAGCATAGGTGCCTTCAACAATGTCTAAAGAGATGTATTTTTTTAAATCTTCTTTAAAAAGAAAAAAATCTTTAAAAAGTCTTCAAAAAGGTTTAATATTTACACGTGTTGGTAGAGGCTTCTGGCAAAAGACGAAAGCGTATATCAGTTTTGATATAGGTACACTTAGCAAAACTGATATGCAAATTTACTCTACAACATACTACCTAAAGTTGTAGTGAGGGTTTGCCAATTACTTAAAAATCACAAAATTATATTTCGGCTATCATTACTTAAATTTGAAAAAAAAAACATATTTTTTTTATTTCCTGCGTACGTACAATAAGTTACGACGGTTTGATAACCGTTATCGTCCTGCGGTTTTCAGCGGGCATTATTCCCCGAATATTTTTATAAATACCTAATATCATAATAAAGTACTTAGCTTCGTACATGCGGCCCTTGACTTTAATTTTATTTGTACAAGGTCAAGTTGTGTCATGTTCACGGTTATACTGCTAACGACCGTTTTACATCTTTATTTATATTATAAAGAGGTAAAATTCGTGAGTTTGTATGTTCGGGGTGAGTTCATTAACTACTGGTTCGGATTGAAAAATTCATTTAGTTTCTGATAGCCTGTTTATCGAGGAAGGCTATAAGGTATATAACATTACGACAAAGTGCCCAGAATTAATAAAAAATGTTGCAAAACAGGGGAAAATTGATTTCCTTTTGACAATAACAAACGAAATTGTGCGGGTCAGATAGTTTCAAATACTTTTATGTAACAAAATAGTGAATGTTTGCAATAAAAGTGTCTCCCGATTTATACCTATACGCGATCTTTAGAAGGGGACCCTTTCTAAATCGCGTATAGATTTTATGTGCGTGTTGAACATCACTGGAAACTTTTCAAAACTACGGGGTCAAATAATAAATTGTATACGTCTTTCGATAGTAGAGTATTCCTATAATGAGTTATTCGCCGTTGTAACTCATTTGAACGTTGTGTAGAAATAGTACAGTAGGTACACTCAATCACGCCGTTTTTACTCTTAATTTTTTTTGTATGTAAAACGATTCTTAAGGAGTAAACGCGACATAAAATGTAGATAGCATGGCAAGGGTATAGTGGAGATGTTGCTCATATGAATTGCGTTATCAGGATTTATGGTCAAACTGATCACTGGTAGGTGTAATGAAATAAGGATTTCTAATATTTAAATTAAAAAGGTGTTCTAGATATATCAAAAATATAGATTATTTTTAATAATAGTTTAGTATCAATAATAAAATTTTACCATATTGTGGATTGGATCATTTCTGGATACAATTTGATGTCTTAAATGTGTAATGTTTGGTTCTACACCAACTATACGAACATCGATATATAATGGAGCTAAGTTAGTAAATTATTAATAAAAGACGAGGCGGTATTATGCCCAAGTTTTTAAATATCTCACTCACAACCACTCTAAGCTATACGATATTAGGGAAGAAATTTGACCTTCCACCGTAGGTATAGTATATACTAACTTTTAAACTTTCGCGTTCCATGATAATTAATATTATATAACGGGAATTAACGCGATCTCTTATTTAGGGTATTACATACCTCTGGTTTGCCTGACGTTTCGACCAGGTTGCACCGGCCGTGGTCACAGGCTGAGATAAGAGATCGCGTTAATTCCCGTTATATAATATTAATTATTATTATGTATAGTTTCGGGTTAACTTTGATATCTAGGTATCCGGGACCTGATGGCGGCCTTATCGCAAAATGTGGTCGGGCCGCAACACGTTTTGATTTTGCTGATAGGCGGAGGGTAGCCTACTTCCCCCGAGATAGGACCTGGCTAGGCGCGGCGTCGATCCGGGGCCCTCCTTCAGAGCACGGCGCCTGGTGGTTGTTAGCTGGCTCCTATGTCCCGAGAAGTCGGAGATCCGAATGAATTTTCTACCCCGTCAACAAAGAAAAAGGTATCCGGGACCTAAAAACTTTTTATACACAAACAATAAATGACATTGATATGTGTACAATATTACATAACAATTATACTAACGAATGACCAATTCCCTTTTTAATCTTGTTTTAATTATGCCAAGTATAATGCTATGTGCTTATTAGTATAAGATTTATAAATGTTGTTGTTGAGTGTTTATTCTATTGGTGTATTTTTATATACATGTATATATGGCAGCCTCTGTCTGTGTGCCTTTATATAACTGTGCCTGTATTCTGCATTTAATGTAGTATGTTAAACAATAAAAAAATCATTTTTTTGCACAATATATATTGCTATATTTATACATAAAATGTATAATATTTTTTTATTATATACTGTAGCTTGTTTATATTATACAATAAGATGTTTATTGTATATTTCTGAGTGTTTTAAAATACAAGAATATAATCAGATAACAGTAGTTTATAATGTTGTACTGTTTGATAGTGTAATATATATTCCAATAATGTCTATTAATTAACTAACTAGCATTGAAAACGCATCAAAATTTTGATATATTTTACATTTTAATTCTTAGAATAATAACTTTTTTGAGTTGTTGATATTTATAAAGAATAAACGGTTTTGATCACGTGTAGTTTGTAGTTTGGGGATGTCTGACACTTTGCTTCTCGGAGAAGGGCCCTCGTCAGGTTTGAATCCCCAAAACACACGTGAGTAAAACCGTTAAACTCTATCTTTTTCAGAATTTAAAAAATTAAATTTAAAAGTCGAAAATAATCATTTTATGGTATATGCATTATTCTACATGTGATGAATTATACTTATTTTTTTTTAAATTATAATCGGCTATCAATGAACTATTTATAACATTAAAAAAATATTGTCTACTTTTTATTCTAGTTTGATATTAGTGTTTTTTTTTTTAATTAAAAGATTGATCAAATGTAAAAGTCAAAAGGAAGCCGCTTTGGCTATGCAACTATTCCTGGTATAGAGACATTTACGGGATCATCCATAAATTACGTTACACATTGAGAGAAGAGGTTTACCAAGGTACGGCATTGTGTATGAGAGTGCAAGCTAATTTCCAGGGAGTCTGTTTTTGTAAGGATGGCTCGGTTTAAAAAATATTAATCATCATCATCATCATCAGCCTATCGTAGTCCACTGCTGGACATAGGCCTCTCCCATTGCACGCCACTTAGATCGATTTTGAGCTTCACGCATCCAGCTCCTGTCAGCTATCTTGCGCAAGTCGTCACTCCACCTGGCCTGTGGGCATCCTACACTACATTTGTTGAGACGCGGTCTCCACTCAAGAACTCGTTTTCCCCAACGGTTGTCGGTTCTGCGGCTAATATGGCCAGCCCGCTGCCACTTCAGCTTGCTGATCCGGTAGGCTATGTCGGTGACCTTGGTTGTCTGCTATAATCCTGATATTAAATAAATTAAAATAAAATAATTTTAAACTTTAATGTTATTGAACTTTAACTTCAGATTTGCCACAAATTCTTTATGATCCTTATGAATCATTTGTAAAATTTACGTAAAATAACATTTACGGTACGAACCTCAAGAGGTTCTATCCTTAACGTACCTACTATGTGTCGTGTCTATACACCTTCATTGATCATTGATTCGTTTATCGATATGGCGATACGAACTGAAAATATCATCCATTCTAAAATTATCTTTATATTAAAACTGACAAGATGCTGATCGATAAAGTTTTAAACTCATCAGTCACACGACAACTGGTACAGCGGATGTTGTAGATTTTTGTGAACCTTACTGCTTAGCCGGTGGTTCGATTCCCACCCAGAACAAATAATTGTATGATGAGCGCGATCATTTATTTGTTCTCTGTTTTGTCGTCATTATGTTTTTTTTTTGTATTTGTTAATATTCTTCTGACGAGCCTGTTGGTCTAGTGGTTAGTGACCCTGACTGGAAACCGGAGGTCGTGGGCTCGATTCCCACCCAGGACAAATATTGTGTAATTTATCTATAATATGTGTTGTGTATGCATAATATATGTATTTAGAAATTTATAAGTATGTTTATCAGCAGTGTGGTTACCATAGCACAGGCTCTGCTTAGTTTAGGATCAGACTGTCGTATGTAAGATGTGTAAAATTATAAAATTCAAGTCATATATGTATTTTATAGCTAAGTTCTCGATCTTACTTTGAAGAGACGTGGTGCCCTTGTTGTATTCTCCCTTCTGTTACTCCCCGAGAAAGCGTTTCTCCGTAAATAACGTGTGTTTTGTGTGAAAGTCGACCTCATTAAGTTTTCTCAGCTGTTATTTGTGAGAATTTAATCACTTGTTTGAAGATCACAAGCTCTTTTGTCCAAGATTTTTTCTTTTACGTGTACCTATGTACTAGTGATGTGCCGGATCGTTAACAAAGTATATCCGCGGATACAGATCCGAATACGGATATTTGGTGTCAAGATCCGCGGATACGGATACGGATCTTAAGTTTCTTACTCAATCGGAGCCCGTGACCTTGATAGTTGTCGCCACTTGACGCTTTGCCGTTGATATTTAAATATTTCATTATTTTAATAAGCTAATACAAAGATGTTTGATTGCTCTCATTATAAAGATCAGTATCAGCTCTTTCAGTACCTACGACCTGCCTAGTTGATTTAGTATAGTACGATAAATGATTGCAATAATAATATATAATAATAATGGTGCCAAATATTTGTTTTAAGAAATAAAAAGTAATCTGAACAGAATTCAATAGTTTTTCATAGCTACCTAATAACCATTATTCAGGGTTATTTTAAATTTACTGAAAACCTCTGAAGTGCATATTAGTAACATTATAAACAACAACTTTTCTTCTGGACTAACACCGAAAACGAAAGAAAA